AATTTCACACAATTTACGATATGAAGAGAACGATTCGATTTGTGAGCATTACGTAGGACTATACTGTGAAAACACTTACGGATTGTCAGGGTTGTTTGAGCTGCTTTGGCTGCCGCTTCATTTCTAAATAGCCTAGCCAACCGGTTGCCACATGTTGCTGATGGAGAGCGACTTATCCAAATGCAGTAATTTCTGCTTCATCCACATTTACAGTCAGAATGGAAGCCACCGCTTGCGCTGCCATGTCCTTTCCTGAAAATTTCGGCTCATGCCCGAAGCCAAACATTTTCAGCTCAGGCTCTGAGCTTTCAAGCTCGTCTGATACGTCGGAATCGCTCATAGTGAGGACGTCTTTGTCAGAACTATTCCTTTCACATACCAAAATACCTGTACTTCTGAGCTTGGCCCAAGCAAGCGAGTCTCAATGACGTAGAAGGGCGTGTTGGGGGTGTGTCGCGGCCGCATGACGTCATGGCGCGTCCCCCGAAAGTACAATTTAAACCGAAGATATCTCCGGAAAGCTTGGTCGGATCGAAGTGGGACCTTCACCATTCGACTCAGCGTCCAAAACTCTACGGACCATGAAGTTTTGATTTTTGGGTGTAGTTCCCCTTTAATGTAGCATTATGGTGATAATGCAGATTAATGGGTGCACGCAGCTTTCTTCTACCGCTCTATCTATGCTGCTATGTTTGATAGTGCTGCATGCTCACACTTTGCTGCTGGCTATGGTCTCTGTGCGGCTTGGCACTCTGCATGATATTGAATGCATCTCTCTACGTGACATTGAACGTGTCTCTGTTCATGCGTGTCGCTGGCCTCCGATGCGCGGCGTTATCGTGGCGCTTGCTTGTAACTCAACGTGGGTGGGTTTGGCGGTGTTATGATGGCGCTTGCTTGTAACTCAACGTGGGTGGCATGCATCGTTGCATGTCTTGCTAGAGTTTGCTCTGCTATATATTTTCGATCCGTTCTGTGCGACGATCATTCTTGTTTGCTCGTAGTGTTTCACCCTCCCACCTCCCATTTCTCATCACTAATTTGCTTTGATAAAGTGAATAAACGGGGTGTTGGCCACGCTCATTTCCGGCTACTCAGGGCCCTCGGTCGCCGTCCCTCGGACGCAGACTCTTGTAGATACTTGGCTCCGCCAACATTCTGCTTCGGCAGTGTCTACCCGGCCGAACCTGAATCCTCTCTCGTAGATACTTGGCTCCGCCAACATTCTGCTCCGGCAGTGACTACATATATCTCTTGTCTGACCTCTCTCTTGGCCCTGCCAAGATCCTGCTCCAGCAGTGACCCCTTTCTTTACTCAGGGCCCTCGGTCGCCGTCCCTCGGACGCAGACTCTTGTAGACACTTGGCTCCGCCAACATTCTGCTCCGGCAGTGTCTACCCGGCCGACCCTGAATCCTCTCTCGTAGATACTTGGCTCCGCCAACATTCTGCTCCGGCAGTGTCTACGTACTACTCTTGTCTGACCTCTCTCTTGGCCCTGCCAAGATCCTGCTCTAGCAGTGACCCCTCTCTTTACTCAGGGCCCTCGGTCGCCGTCCCTCGGACGCAGACTCTTGTAGATACTTGGCTCCGCCAACATTCTACTTCGGCAGTGTCTACCCGGCTGACCCTGAATCCTCTGTCTGTTTGTGTGTTTGTCTGTCTGTCTGTTTTGTGTCTGTTTGTCTGCTTTTCTGTCTGCTTCTGTGTCTATCTGCCTTTCTATTTCCTTGCCTCGTCTCCATATCAACGAGACATGAATCATTAATGACAGCTAATGTGACAGTGGCTACAGCGGGGCAACGTGCACGATTGCCACCGGCAATTCTACCAGAGCAGCATACCGTTGTGGAGAACAGCGCTACCGGCAATTCTGCCAGTTATGCCGATGGGACCCGTTGCCGGCGACAGACAGTAGGTTATCGAGCTTTGCGGCCTACTTGGTGAGGTCTGTGAAGCCAGGTACAGAGGCCAATTACATCTCGGCCGTTCGTAATCTGCATCTCGAGTGTGGCATGGATGATCCTACGACAGGCGCTACCCTGCTACCGCGCGTGCTTAAGGGTATTAAGAGAGTGAAGGGCACTGCTCCGTCCATGACCCGTCTTCCACTGACAAGTGATCTGATCCGGTCAGTTGTGGACCGGTTGCGGAATGACCCGACTTCTACTCCAGACGATCGCGTTATGCTGCAAGCCGCAATCCTGTTGGCGTTCCACGGCTTCCTGCGGTGCGCTGAGTTTACTGTAAGCGATCACGCACCGTTCGACCCAAGATTTGATGCTGCCGGCGATAGTGTGAAGATAGCATACCATGGTGGTAAGCCCGTGTTACATTTTGTTGTGAAGCGGTCCAAGACGGTCCCGTTTGCCAGAGGCATGTCCCTATACATCGGGCCAGCAACGCCGCAATATTGTCCCGTTGTTGCCATGGTCGAGTATTTGTCACGCAGTAAGCCGCCGTTGTTGCGGCCCTTGTTCCGGTTTAAGTCAGGCGCACCGCTGACTCGCCGTCGCTTCACTGCTAAACTGAGAGCCCTCCTGCAGTTGTCCCGGGTGAGTAATGTGGCTGATTATAGTGGCCACTCCTTCAGGATTGGTGCGGCGACGACGGCTGCTGCAAACGGCGTACCTGTGTGGAAAATCCGTGCAATGGGTAGGTGGCAAAGTGACTGTGTTCTGAGGTACATTCGCACTGATCCCTCGGACCTGCTGTCTGTTTCTATGGCTCTTCACAGTGGGCCTATTTAATTGTGTGATGTGCCCTGTATTCATGTGTGTGTTGCATGGACTCTTGGCGATGGCCTCATTGATACTATATTTCGTGCTGAGACAATGCACGAACCATTATTGCCTCTACCTTACTTCTTACCTTCCACCCTGGGCGACCTCTCGCTCTCCTGCTGTTTGCACAACTGCGCTCGTGGCTTCTTCGGTGCGGGAATTGCCGGCCATTATGGGCCACGCTCATTTCCGGCTACTCAGGGCCCTCGGTCGCCGTCCCTCGGACGCAGACTCTTGTAGATACTTGGCTCCGCCAACATTCTGCTTCGGCAGTGTCTACCCGGCCGACCCTGAATCCTCTCTCGTAGATACTTGGCTCCGCCAACATTCTGCTCCGGCAGTGTCTACGTATTTCTTTCCGTAGCCTCTCACTCCGCTGGCCGGCACTCCCCCATACCGCAAGTTGCTGTGTGTTGTAGTTAATGTAGCATTATGGTGATAATGCAGATTAATGGGTGCACGCAGCTTTCTGCTACCGCTCAATCTATGCTGCTATGTTTGATGGTGCTGTTACTGCATGCTCACGCTTTGCTGCTGGCTATGGTCTCTGTGCGGCTTGGCACTCAGCATGATATTGAATGCATCTCTCTACGTGACATTGATCGTGTCTCTGTTCATGCGTGTCGCTGGCCTCCGACGCATGGCGTTATCACATGGCGTTATCACATGGCGTTATCACATGGCGTTATCGTGGCGCTTGCTTGTAACTCAACGTGGGTGGGTTTGGCGGTGCTATGATGGCGCTTGCTTGTAACTCAACGTGGGTGGCATGCATCGTTGCATGTCTTGCTAGAGTTTGCTCTGCTATATATTTTCGATGCGTTCTGTGCGACGATCATTCTTGTTTGCTCGTAGTGTTTCACCCTCCCACCTCCCATTTCTCATCACTAATTTGCTTTGATAAAGTGAATAAACGGGGTGTTGGCCACACTCATTTCCGGCTACTCAGGGCCCTCGGTCGCCGTCCCTCGGACGCAGACTCTTGTAGATACTTGGCTCCGCCAACATTCTGCTTCGGCAGTGTCTACCCGGCCGACCCTGAATCCTCTCTCGTAGATACTTGGCTCCGCCAACATTCTGCTCCGGCAGTGTCTACGTATTTCTTTCCGTAGCCTCTCACTCCGCTGGCCGGCACTCCCCCATACCGCAAGTTGCTGTGTGTTGTAGTTAATGTGCTGTGTGTGTGTGTGTGTGTGCGCTGTGTGTGTGTGGGTGCTGCGTGTGTGTGTGTTGTGCGTGTGTTGTGCGTGTGTGTGTGTGTGTACTGTGTGTACTGTGTGTGTGTGTTGTGCGTGTGTGCTGTGTGTGTTGTGTGTGTTGTGCGTGTGTGTTGTGCGTGTGTGTTGTGCGTGTGTGCTGTGTGTGTGTGCTGTGTGTGTGCTGTGTGTGTGTGCTGTGTGTGTGTGTGTGTGTTGTGTGTGTGTGGGTGTGTGTTGTGCGTGTGTGCTGTGTGTGTGCTGTGTGTGTGTGCTGTGTGTGTGTGTGTGTATTTGTGCTGCGTGTGTGTGCTGCGTGTGTGTGTGTGCTGTGTGTGTGTGTGTGTGCTGAGTGTGTGTGCTGTGTGTGTGTGTGTGTGTGTGTGTACTGCGTGTGTGTGTGTGTGTGTGTGTGTGCTGCGTCTGTGTGTGCTGTGTGTGTGTGTGTGTGCTGTGTGTGTGTGTGTGTGTGTGTGTGTGTGTGTGCTGTGTGTGTGTGTCTGTGTGTGTGTGTGTGTGTGTGTGTGTGTCTGTGCTGTGTGTGTGTGTGTGCGGTGTGTGTGTGTTGTGCGTGTGTGCTGTGTGTGTGTGCTGTGTGTGTGAGCTGTGTTTGTGTGTGTGTTGTGCTTGTGTTGTGCGCGTGTGTGTGTACTGTGTGTGTGTGCTGTGTGTGTGTGTGTGTGTGTGTGCTGTGTGTGTGTGTGTGCTGTGTGTGTGTGCGCTCTGTGTGTGTGGGGGGGAGGGGGTATCCTACATTATGTTCAGCAGTGTCTTTGCTGTTTGTGGTATGCAGAGCTCACTGACTTGTCAGTTAGAGCACTCTGGGAAGGTATGGTTGTGTCTTGTTTAAATCTTGCTTTTGAAGATTTACTTCATTGCTATCGGGTTTAGCCTCATTCTGAGTGCACAAAAGATGAAAGTTGTGAAAAATTCTACATACAGCTTTAGTTCATGTACTATTATGTTGATAAAGTGAACTGTGGTTATTTGAAACAGTAAGCAAGATATCATATCCTACTTACCTACAATGTTGAGCTGATATGTGTCTGAAGAGTTGTGTGTAGCTGTTCTACAATGATACAGTCCAGTGTATGAAGTGTTCAGCATAGGACGTGCTGCGCTGTTCAACTGTACAACAGTAATTCCTGAGATGGCTGACTCAAACAACACTAGACTACCATCAGTCTTCTCTAGTCGAATGAATGGTCCTGATCCATCGGACACCAAGCATAGAGGTAAGTAGTCTGGAACATTGACTGTAGGTTGTCCATCACCAAAAGTCACTAGGTATGTTGTTGATTGTCCTGTACCAGCAGCACGTAGAGTGACAGCTTGACCTGCATGACCATACACATGGGTGCAGTGTTACAATACTAACTCAACACATGACTAGTGACAATGACCTGACAATACTATCACAATACTAACTCAATACATGACTAGTGACAATGACCTGACAAAGGTAGTATACTGCCACATATTGGTATTTGCCTTCACATCAACACCAGTAAAGCAAACAACATTGATATCAAACACACATGAAAATAATGACATTGGCATACCCAAATTCATCCACCATAATATATCTTACCATTGGAGCCAATCAGCAACAGGGGGCAGAAGAGCAGCAAGCAGCCAATCAGGACACCTTCACAGTGGGACACACGAAAAAGGAATTGAGACATTCGAGTGGCTAAGTGGTGCTGCCACAAGAACTCTTCTAAGGTGAGGTAATGTTGGCTTGATGGAGTTTTGTTCGTAGCTTGTTCTTGTACGTTGTGCCGTGGCTCGTTTGTAGACCCATAAATCGTGCCAATATTGGGCCAATATTGAGGGGTATGCCAATTTCATGGTTCCCTTCCAAAGATTTTGCGCTGGCTTTGGAATGCCGATCTACACCCCAAAACAAACCTACCTGCAAAATTTGAGCGAAATCTGAGAAACCGGCTTGCACATACGTTCTGGTTTTCTCAGACATGCTCTCTTAATGATACTCCAGGAACATTGTGGTTGCAACCTTATATTTTCCTTTGAATGCATTGGCAATGTGGTCAAATTGTACATGAGTAATAACCCTCATGCCACACAAGAGAGACGAGCCCATGGGGTGTCGCAAGCGTTTATTCAAGGCGCTGACGCCTGTTGGGAATTCCCTAGTAAAAGAAGAAGAAATCATAATAATAATAATAATAATAATAATAATAATAATAATAATAATAATAATATTCCAGCATGAATAATAGGGAGCTTTCGCTCTACATAATAATTATTACGTATGAAAATCCGTATGTCGTACACGCCGGGGAGCGAGGGCAACTTTCATACGTAAATCTCTCTATGGCTTTCCGTAGGAAAGCTGTTTCCTACGTTGGGGCCTCCATAGGACTTTTTGAAATATTTTTCGCATTTTCCGGATTTATCCATGGCAATGTTCAAGCCTCGCAAAACACGCAGTACACACCGTTCACCACGTGCAAAATACAATGGAAAACGCGGCTTCGGTTCACGGTGCATGCGGTGGACGCATGCAGCCAACGCGTCTCCAAAGCAACAATGCATGTTTAGCAGTCGTGGAGAAATCACGTAGAGAGAAACGCCACAGCGCTGATCTTTACGTATGAAAAATACGTGCAGTTCCTACGTTATTTTCACACGTAATTCCGTAGAGTGAAACCTCCCTAAACATGAGCCTGTGATCGGTAATCAAGTATGACGTACATGTACTCAGTATGAGGTCATGATTATTATGATGTACACATATCACGCATCAGAGAGGCAAGGACAGCAGAAGCGACCCACGGGGTCGTGCGCCGTCGGAACGGCTGCGTGTCCTATTAAGTTGCTTTGGCAGGGGAACACTAAATCTTAGTACACATAAGTGGTGAAACGAATATTCGAATATTCGAACATTCGTTCGGTTTGTCACATTCGAGTATTCGTTAAGTCACATTCGAGTATTCGTTACGTCACTTCGAATGCATACATGCACGCCGAACATGGCACACTGCAGTGCGTACAGCCTGCCTGTGACTTTGTACTGTATGCATGCACATGTATGTCCATACTGCACTGCCAATGGTGCACATAACATGTATGAACTTCGAAGTAGCCTTATGGGGCAGTACATTTTATGTAGCACAACCGTTCGCCATACCTAATAATAATGACAGTATCCATCATATGACTGGGAGGAGGGCATATTCGGCTAGTAGGTTTTGACATTCGTTTCACCACTAGGTCACTACACATGAATAGTGCAATGGTGTCGATGTGCGTGCACTATGCGGCAACCATCGGCAGCACCCGTGCCTCCTGCCTTTTAAATGGTGTGAGAGGGTGGAAAACAGTTTCTGCAGCGGGCAGGCACAACAAACAACTGGCGAATGCCGTTAACGTATTTCCTTGAGCAGCCGCTGCGGCCTGTATTCAAAACAAGCAAAATGGGTGTGGCCCTGAAAAATAGTTGTACGTCACAATGTACTTGCTGTATGCGTAGAGTTCACATACGATGTGCACTGTTGAACCTTTGTTGTCCAGCTACACTGTAGGCTAGTGCATCTTTATTTCTTTTCCTCTTGCACTGAAAAGAATATCATGTAATTCTGTAAGCCAAAACGGGCGAGGATGCAATGGACAGGGTGTGCAGAACCAGTTTGCGTGTTGCCAAGGTCAACATTCAGACCACCAATAAGCACAGTAGATGATTGACGACCTTGGCAAGCATACTCAATGTTCTCCTCGAAATCTTCCCAGTAAGCAGCACGCATGTTGGGTGGTTGGTACGCACATCCAACGAGTATGCTCTGCTCGCCAGTGCCAGGCCCAAGCCATAGTAGTTCTAAGGTCCCACATTCCAAGTCTAACCCCACCAGCAGCATTATGCTCAGCGCCAGCACCGGGAACAGCTCTTAAACACCACCCCCGGCACCAATCCCGATTACCTTCGACGTTCCTTCCCGTACTGTTCCCTTGAATTGTGGAACAGCCTCCCCGAGGACGTCTTTCCCCGTCTGGCCAATCACTCTCTCCACTTACAGCTTTAAAAAAATGTGTCAACCAACACATCTCAGACCCGCCATGGTCTTGGGACGTGCTTTGAAGCCCATCATGTTGATCGTCTCACTGTTCTTTCCAGATTGCACCTCTCGGCTTGGGGATGTGCATTGAAGCACCCCATACTAACGGTCTATACTGTCCTGTCTTGGTCACCACTCTCCCTGTTACCTTTTTTGTAATTTTTGTAAAATCCCGCCAGAGCGCCCCGTCTCTTCTACCCGCCCCTCCCCGACTTATTGTCAGGGACGTGATTGTTTGTATCCTCAAAGCTCTTTCCTACGTTGGGTCCTCCGTAGGACTTTTTTGAAATATGTTTTGCATGTTTCGGTTTGCAGTGCATGCGGTGGGCGCATGCAGCCAACGCTTCTCCAAGCAACAAGGCATGTTTAGCAGTCGTGGAGAAATCACGTAGAGCGAAACTCAAAAGCCCTGATTTTTACGTATGAAAATTAAGTGCAGTTCCTACGTTATTTTCATACGTAATTCTGTTGAGCAAAACCTCCCTACTATCTGTGACTGTGGCGGTCACCATTCAATGTCGCGTCCTCCTCTAACAGTACCCCAACTCTCTCTCTCAGCTCTCTTTTAATCTGTCTTTTCTTACTCTTTTTTTGTCATCTTTCCTCATGGTTAATTGCTTTTCAAGAAAATAAAATTTTAAAATTAAAAAAAATCTGCGACGTATGGCTATCGACTTATGACAGTAGACACACACACTTCCACCATGCAGTCGGCGGTTTTTACGAAAAAACATACAGTTAGGAATTGAAATCTCGCCATCAGATACTGAAGGTTTAAGCCAGGTCTCTGCAATTCCAAACAGATGTATGCCACTTGAGGACATGAACTCCTTGACTTCAGCTACTTTAGTGCGCAAACTACACACGTTCAGAAACGCAATTGCTGCTGGCAGATCCATGGGTAATGATTCAGCCCATAGCCTGTCCATCCCCAACAGACTCGTTGGCGACGGAATTGGAAAGGTTATTGGATTCATGTCGGGGCGTCTTGGTGTCCTCAAACTTCCACTGCCTGGCTATGTGAGTGGTGTGCTTATGTCTGGATCTTTTTAGAGCATTTCTTTGATACTGTCCCTGCGATAACAGCTTTCAATACTTCGTAATTCCAGAATGAGTTTTGTCATTACCAGTGCAGTGACACGGGAAATGTGAATTCTGGTAGTGAGTCAAAATGTACAACAATCAGCACAAAATGGCTGATGTCATACTGACATTCAACATCCTGATGCCTAGCTGCATCACATTAGGAACTTCCAAGTTGGAAAAAATGGTGGTTTAAAAGACACTAGTGCAGAAATAACTCAGCCAGTAGTACCCCCGGCCCAGTACACAACATGGTGCCGCTTTAGCTCTGAAGAGGGAAGAACAATTACAAGCTTTCCTGGACAATTCACTTAGGAACAGCTGATACAACTGACAGACGCGGCGACACAGCCTCAACAGTCGTGTAGACAAACACAAGAACATGTGGACTTGCAGCACAAACACCCAAACAGGCTCAGTTCACCTGGCCAAAAACAATACCACTGCCACAATATCAGCATAGCACCGGCAATACATCACACATACACAGGGGTGAATGTCATGAGCGATGAAGTTGACTGTATTTTAAATACGGGTACTACATTCCACAAAGAGAAAGGTTGCGGAAAACCTCAGATTATCCTGACACCGGCCAAACAACCCCCTTGATTGGAAACAAGCAGAATCAGCGAAGCGGACATTGGACGTAGTCATGAACAAAAATAAAAGATGGATAAAAAAGTTGGATAAAAGTTTCCGAACACGTTTTCTAGAGACATTCATCAGGGAAAACACGTCTCAATACTGAAATCTAGGAATGAACAATGATATATACATGGAAGAGTACGTCCAACGTCCGCTTCGATGATTCTGCTTATTGCCTTATTAAAGTTTTTAGGGAGGTTTCGCTGTACGTAATTACGTATGAAAATCCGTATGTCGTCCGCGCCGGGGAGCGAGGGCAGCTTTCATACGTAAATCTCTCTACGGATTTCCGTAGGAAAGCTCTTTCCTACGTTGGGTCCTCCTTAGGACTTTTGAAATATTTTTCGCATTTTCCGCATTTGTCCATGGCAACGTTCAAGCCGCGCGAAACACAAGGTACACACACCGTACACCACGTGCAAAATAAGATGGAAAACACGGCTTCGGTTCATGGTGCATGCGGCGGGCGCATGCAGCCAACGTGTCTCCAAAGCAACAATGCGTGTTTAGCAGTCGTGGATAAATCACGTAGAGCGAAACCAAGCAGCTCTGATTTTTACGTATGAAAATTCCGTGCAGCTCCTACGTTATTTTCATACGTAATTCCGTAGAGCGAAACCTCCCTATTGTCTCCGCGCCGCTTATTTGATTGGAAACCTTTTTTTGTTTTTGTTTTACTATGTTCACATAACCAGCTCGAAAAGACTAAGGAAAGACAATGTTGTGCTGCATTGAACTGTGTATTGCACTGTTGAAGGCAGATCGCCGATCTGAATTTTACATGGGCTGTGTTTACATGAGGCGTTTCAACCCGGTTTGAGTTCGATCCGGGTCAGGTTTCAACCCGCCATGTACACAAAATGAATGGCGCGTTTACATGACGCATTGCGCTTGACCCGGGTTGAAATTTTGCCTCCGGGTTGATTTCAACCCGGGTTAAGAAAATGGTACTAACGTACTTCTGCGTATCTCGCGCCAGGTTTGAACAGCACTGCATATGCAAATTTCACGCGAACGGATTCACGTGACCATACAGGACTCTAGAAGTGGACTTTTGGCGGCATATCAGTATTTGACCCGGGTCAACTGTCTTCATGTAAACGCTCACCTATTTTGTCTATCGTACAGACTTTCAACCCGGGCTGAACTCGACCCGGGTTGAAATTTCTCAGGTAAACACAGCCATACAAAGTTCTTTAGACTTTCGAAATTAACCCTCTCAGTGCCACATATGTACATGCGACTTTAGTATGTGTGTATAAATAAATTCGTATCTCCACTTCTACACACAGGAGAGTTACAACGACCACTCTACGTGTTCAGAAAGACTTTGGCTATCGACTCATCACATCGTTTTGCGTCCGTGAGGATAGATATCGCTAGGGCGAAGCCTGAAGCACGCGCGCTCGGACAAACAATTGTCGCCGGTAGAAAACATGACGTATGCGCATCGCGGGTTTCTCTATTTCTTTCGAGGCAACCCATGCATATAGGGTATCAAAACATCGAGATTTTCAGTGACTTTCAGGCCAACTTTGTCCGAATTTCGTGCGTTGAAAGTTGACTGCACCACGATCGCGCGCCTGAGAAAGTGCAGATGCTACGAAAATGCAGAAAACGGACTTCACCCAGGCGCCCTCGCGAGGAAGACTATTTTCGCTGCATTTTCTCTTCACAGCTGTCTGCCTGGCCACGATGTCTTTCCAGAGAGCCATCATTTTTAAGGATCCATGGATATACAGCTGAGCTATGAAAAATTTGAGTTCAGCCCAACTCAGAAAAAATTGAATGTTTCTGACCCCTTTGGCACAGAAAGGGTTAAAGGGGAAGTTCACCCTAAAATCAAAATTTCAGAACCTGTATGGAAAAATCCACTGATTCCAATAGCGAAAGTCCGAGGTTGATCTGAGCAACCGTTCTGGAGTTATAGCATCTGGAAGTTTAGACTAAATTCGATGATGTCATAATGACATCATAATTTTTGACGTCATTGAGATAAACTGATTTTTCAAAATTTGATATGGGACATATGACACCTTACTGGTATCTAAACTAGAAACATATCGCCAGAAAGCAACGAAAACGACATAAATTGGCTATTCACCATCTACCGTACTCGCGTAATTAGTGCCCCTGGGGCACCATTTTTTTTCTAGGGGTCAAACGGGTGTACCTAACGAACGGGTAATTTTCTTAACAAGCGGGTTAACAGGTACCCTTTAGCAACCCTATTAATTTTTTGTGCATTTCTCACATAAAATCATGATATAAAATTTGTATATTGTCAGGTTGTATTTTGATGATTTTTAAATTTTGATGCCACATTATGATTCGCAATTGATTTGTGTCCCCTAATAACATGATGGCAATGAAGTTCCAAATCATGTATTTTGACTTTTTGATACATGTACGCAAATCAACTGCAGCTTGGTGTGATTCAAGCCATGCAAGGACAGAATAGTTTAGCAAAAGTTCCGTGATCTCGAGCAATCCTATTTTGCTATGCTCGCAGAGAACTGGTACTCTTCGCATTCAGAAGATGTTCGCACCCATAGCTGGGTTGCCTGACACAGCTGATGTGCTGCTGGCCAGCTAGCTGCTAGCGAGAGTACATAACAAGAGTGTGCAACTCCTATCTTGAGCTGCGATGGGTTCACCCACGGCGGAATTTTTTTATTGCGTCATTCTTTGGCTGAAGTATGATTAAGTGCGTATGCTTTCCTGCGCATGTTTTGTAGATACAGGGAGAGTTTATCGGGTTCAGGACACATCGATCTATCGTCCGTTGTTCTGCTTCGACTATCGTAGGTGTAGTATATAAATTCTTTGTACTTTGATCTCTGGCTACGCATGATGGCATCAGCAAGCCAAACAGCCGCCAAAGACTGATGTCATAAAAAAATTCCGCCGTGGGCTGGGGGATCTCGAGTTGCACACTCTTGGTTATGTACTCTTGCTGCTAGTGCTAGCTCGTGGAACTCGTGAAACGAATCTTCACAAATCCGTAATCTTTTGTGCAATACTTCGAACTACTTTTCAGCTAAGCCAAGCTCGTCGATTGAAGGAACAAACTACAACCATGAGTATCATAGCTACCACCAACGGACCTCACCGTGTGTGACACTCCGACTGGTCTCTCAGCCTGGTGACACTACAGATAGTTCATCTTCAAGCACTGTGGCAGGTTCGATGTCGGAGAACCCCCGTAACCTTCCTTCTAGTAACTCTGCTGCTGCAGCTTTTTTATTTTATTTTATTTACAAACGGGTACCCTTTTCAGATGGGGAAGTATTCAAGAGAGGGCAGTATTCAAGACAGGGCACTATTTTTTCATTGCTGGTACATTTGCGTCATCCAGCATAAAACAAAGAAAAACAGAGCCTAAAGTGTGCTGTAAACGCTCACGACTCCACAGAAACGGGAACAAGACCTGCGATTTTGTTCCTTAAAACACTTTTTTTTACTACGTTCACATAACCAGCTCGAAAAGAATAAGGAAAGACAATGGTACGGAGACCAGTGCAAAGCAATGGCCAAGAACATTAGCAAAAGAACACCAAACTTGCACGTGGGCTTGGTTACAAGACCGGGGGGGGGGGCACTATTCAAGAGAGGGCTTTATTTTTCACTGGCTCTTGGAGACTAGGGCACTATTCGAGATAGGGTACTATTCAAGAGAGGGCTCTAATCGCGCGAGTACGGTATTCCCATACAAAGTTTATCTCTGTGACGTCACAAGGATGGGCAAATTATGACGTCATCAAGATGTCACAGAAATTGGCCAAAACTAGAGTATGCTATAACTCCGGAACGGTTTCTCCAATCAACGTGGGACTTTCACCATTGGAATCAGTGCATCGTTTGCTACAGTTTTTTTTAGGATTTTAGGGTGAACTTCCTCTTTAATAATATAATAAATACCGATATGGACTTACCAGCAGAGGCCATGGTGGAACCTTGATGAACCTCAAAAATCGAGAAGAAATCTTGAAAAGGAGAGAACCGCCCACACACTGGCACACACTGGCACACACACACACACACACACACACGCACACACACACACACACACACACACACACACACACACACACACACATGCACAAAGCACCAAGCACAAACGCACACACACGCACAAACACACACACATGCACAAACAAACAAACACACACACACACACACACACACGAAAAAAACACGAAATTTAGAACAGAACACAGAGCTATCCAACTGCATATAGGATTCGAACCCAACACAAATGTACATCACAGTATTGACTGTTCTTCTGTGTACAAGATTTTAGCCTATTGCTAGATCACAAAACAATGTACTTGAAGGATTTCCATTGATGGATTGGTTGATTGATAGATTATGATTGGAGTGGTGACCAAAGCCCAATGGGTTTTGTGATTCTCCAAGAAAGCGCCGATGCCATGATAATCAACAGGAAACTTTACCGCATGCATATACACGTGCACCACTCAGTGCCCTGACCCCTACACATGCACATATGCGTGCCCCCCCCCCCCCCCCTACAGATGCACTCTCCCCCCCCCCCCCTACACATGCACTCTCCCCCCCCCCTACACATGCACTCTCCCCCCCCCCCCCCCCTACACATGCACTCATGCGTGCCCCCCTACACATGCACTCCCCCCCCCCCCACACACACATGCACTCTCCCCTCCCCCCCCCCCCTCTAAGCGGGATTCACAGAAGCTTTTTTTGCGATGCGACACGCGATGCAACAGCCGCGAAACTGGGGAATCCCCAAGTCGCAGCCATCTCTCACTCCACGGAACTTCCGCAACTGGGCCATCGCAGAAGTTGAGCTTTGCTCTACTTTTGCGATGCGACAAGCGATTTGGCGTACGATTTTATACAGCAAAGTTGTACAAAGGTTCAAGAGTGGCCCATAAATTTGTACAAGTTGTACCAAACCGCGCGAAAACCATGGTGACGTACCCAACTGCATTGAACTTCGCGCCAAATCAGCAAGGCGTTGTCGCATCACTGACTTCTTCTGTGAGTGGTATTTCGCGAGTTCGCATCGCACGCATCCGTCGCAGATCACGTCGCATCACGTTTCGCATCGCAAAAAAAGCATCTGTGAATCCCGCTTTACACATGCCTGCCTCCCCCCCCCCCCATACACATCCACTCCCCCCCCCCCACACACACATCCACTCCCCCACCCCCCCCCCCCCACACACACACACATCCACTCCCCCCCCCCCCCCCCCTACACATCCACTCCCCCCTCCCCCCTACACATCCACTCCCCCCTCCCCCATACACATCTACCCCCCCCCCCCCCTACACATCCACTCCCCCTCCCCCATACACATCCATCCCCCCCCCCCCCCCCCATACACATCCACTCCCCACTCCCCCATACACATCCACTCCCCACTCCCCCCTACACACCCACCCCCCCCCCCCCCCACACACATCCACTTCCCCCCCTCCCTACACACTTCCACCCCCCCCCCCCCTACACTTCCACCCCCCCCCCCCCCTACACATCCACACCCCCCCCCCCCCCCCCTGCACACTCACACCCATCCACTCGCACGTGCACTCCTCCTCTACACATACACTGGCATGTGCGTTCCTCCTCTAGACATGTGCATGCACCCTCTCCCCTTCACCGTTCCCCACCCATACGCACACTAATGCGCATGTCGGTACACACACACACACACACACACACACACACACACACACACACACACACACACACACACACACACACACACACACACACATGTGTTCACACATATCCTCACACGTGTACATTTACGTACACACACCATGTACCATGTATACGCCCGCCGCAAGAGAAGCACGCAAATCTGCAAATGCACTGAATGTGCACCCACAGATTTTCTCTTATAGCAACGATAGCGAACAAGATCTGAATGAGACAGATCAAGACTTGCTCCAGATAACTATCTAATCCACTCAAGTGGCGAAGCCACGTGAATAGACCACCAATGCACACCTGGTCTACACCACACAGTGTATATCGGCATAAAACGGCCCAAGACATTTACCTATGCACACCCTACACTTGCTGGGGTAACCAGTATAGACAGCACGTTGCTTTGTTAGCAGCAGACACTAGATGCACTTGTACCTTGAAGTGAAATTGGAGTTCCTTTACCAACCAGCCCCGGCTACTGAGTACTGGGAACCCAGAGCCAACAGACATACCAACAACCTCAGCCATGAAAGCACACACACACGCACACACATGCGCCCACACGCACACACATGCAAAGATTTGTTGTGTAGCACATGATGACTGTATCGACAATTTTCTGAGGGAAACTAGTAATTATTTGATCACAAGCCACATGTCCCTACTTCATTGCCACATTGGTTATGTTGTTTGTGGACTTTTAATTCACTTCACCTTATGCCGTACAAAGCACTCTTGTAGACCAGTATTAGAAACTTTCTCAAGGTGCAGCAAATGTCGCTCCTCCACTACCTGTTCATGCACTGGCAGCCTAGCACAGGTGGTGGGCAGCACAGGGTAAAGCTACAGTGTACAACGTGCAGTGTGAATGCAACGACCACAACCTACATACTTCAAGTACAAACGCAACGTGCAGCGCGCAGATTTGCCAAAACCTGTACACAATACGACCCAATTTCCTGATATTGTAGCGAATCTGCCCACCAGAGATGGTTAGAATGCTCGTCAGGTTTCCCAAGTGAAGGAACAATAAATACATGTACATGTACGTGTATCAGCACTTGGTTCACAATCTCAGCTTCTTGCCCCCAAGTGACAAGTAGCTGAAAAAGGAAAGTTGAGGTACGACGTACAACTGGACTAGATTGTAGGTGATCACGAGTTAGTGTTTACCGCATGCTGGTTGGGTACGTCAGCAATTTCCATTCCCACAAGACCCTACCTACTACAAGGCATAGTGAGGCGGAAAGGACACGAGCGTGAATCCTCCCTCTAACTATTTTGCTCACGGCTTGCCCATTGACTAGACCAGCCACCGTGAACCCGTGAGCCTAAAACCTCTTCCTGACACACAGAAAGTTTGACATACTGTTAGTTGTTGCAGACAGAAGAACCCATCAATACACGGGATACGCTCTACAAGAATGACACCGGCATCATAGCTCACACAGCCATGGAGCCAATAGAGAATACCGCGGGTTGAAACGAAGCACAAGTACGATATAGACCATGAGAGGGGGACTAACCACAGCAGCAGAAACTCACCGAGAGGAGGACGACGGACAGTAAGTAGACGAAAGTGACGATCCAAAAACGGTCTGCGAGCAGAGTAGAGAGACTGACTTAGCTAGAGACTGAACAACTATCACCAGCACTTGATACTTCGTGGCAAACAGCACTCACCACACACACGTCCGTGAAACGGCTTAGAAAACAGATCTACTTCTTCTTCTCTCCTCTACTATGGATAAGAGTGACGCTGTTGTTGTCAGTGGTCTCTTTTCTTCTCCTTGCGTAGCCCAGCTTTTGGGTCTTCCGGAAATCAAGGTTTGCAGGATTCCATCCTGAGAAACATGCCAAATTCCTGCACTCTTTCAGATTAATTTCGGTTTCGACCGATGTTTGGACCGATTTCTTTTGTGTGTTTGAGCCAATTTTGTGAAGTTCCTGAGTCTCGCTGTCACATGATAATGTAGTGCATATTTGCACAGCGCACCGTATATCGGCAAGCCATATTTCGCAAGCAATAAGCACTTACCGTACTGGCTTTCCGCATTCACAATGGACTCTTGAACTCGGTCGTACCACATGTGCACAGCGTACGTCGGACCAACGCTTTCGGTACCCCAGTTTGTACATGCGTCAGCTCTTTTGCATATTTGGCATGCGCATTGCGCACTGGATCAGATCATGGACTCGCCCAGCATGTACTCGGGCCTACGGCCCTCAGGCTAACCTGTCGGACAAGCCATAAGGCCCTCCCTGCATGCCATGCACTAATGTAGAAGAGCTCGTACCGTATATACGCACCTTTAAAGGGGAACTCCACGAAAAAATGAAAATTTGATAGCCTGTAGAGTTTCGGGCGCTGAGTCGAATGGTCTTGGTCCGAAGTCTCTACGAGAAAGCGTTCTTGAGATATTTCAATTTTAGCCACGCCCCATACCAATGTATGTGTGACGTCATTGTGGCATGTGCGAAAATACTTGGATTTTGAATCTCACTTTCTTCAGGACGAAAGTCACTTCAGAAAGTAGTTTGCCAAGTCGCCTGAGCCGCTGCAATGCCAAATTGTTGTGTTGTTGATTGTGCCAGTATCACATCATCCTCCTGGGGTTAGTTTTCTCAAATTCCCAAAGGATGGAGACCTGGCAAAGCGCCGAGATGTTGCAATGCGTCGTGAAAATTTCAAGCCTATTTTCGCAGCACGAGCTATGTTTGCTCGCTGCATTTATGATCCAGAGGGACTTGAGAGCTGAGTTTTGACGAGTACGCCGTCCAGGAAAGCCCTCATCAGTGTACCAGTGCCCTCCGAACCGTGAGCCTCCAGCAAAGCGAACTCAACAAGCTGCAACTGAGAAAGCAGGGCGAGATACGTCCCATCAGGATCAGAAGAGTACATCACCCCATCAACTCCGACTGCAGCTAGCTGATGAACGATATTACCCCAGTAACTTTGCGCATACCAGTACTCAAACTGTGCACATCTGTCATCAACTGGGACGCAAACAGACAGACCCCCAGCAAGTACGAAGGTTACAGAACTGTTTGCTTGCGATGTGCAGGCAGCATGCACGACGAACTGTCTCACCACTCCTGCCAAACTGAACCAGTGTAAGTTGATTGCGTGGATATGTCTCTATTTATAACAGCTACCCTACTTCTAGGCATGGTTGCATGAATACCATATCACTCAGAGCAGTTGTTAGAAGTCTGGACAGCCTTGGAATAGTGCAAGTAAAGTGAAACAAAAATATATTACACTCCGAGTTCCACGCTTGCGGGATCACCAGGCCAAAAAAATCTAATTTCGAACAAGGAATGGGTTCTGGTTGTATGCGAAAGAAAAGTAAGTGAAGACCTATTGTGCAAGGAATACAGTGGGAACTACACATATTATACACATGCACTCACACCATCACCCACATGCGCGCGCGTGCGTGTGCGTGCACACACACAAACACAACAACACACACACATACGCACCCACATACTCAAACTCACTCGCACGCACGCTAGCCTAAGGATAGTACATATGCTGTAGTAGTGGTATACTTAGTGAAATGACTATGTGTACATCTAATGACGCCGCCACTCCACGCCAGAAGACAACAAACATCTGCTGCAACATTTTTGCTCCCGTCTCTTATGGGCAACACAGGGAATGAAACGAACAATGCAATTGAGAACAAGAGTCGTCCTGTACGGTGAAGTTTCCATTTTCCCATACAGCAGTATATTGTCTAAGCAAGTGTGTTTTCTCCACATTCTTTTTGCCATGCAGGTATATCACAGTGTCATGCCAAACTACATTCTCAAACGCATTCGTTTCTCAATTCTGGGGATGATTGGACACGCACATCTCGCAGCTCTTGACGACGTCAATGTCAACCGTCGCCACAGCACAACCAAAAAGACCGTGATAGGAAGGTATAAAGTCCAGTTCTCAAAGCATAAAGAAGACTGTGGCCAAATAGAAAATTATACGACAGAAAGAGCTATGAGTATGTTGACAAGCTCATGTGTGAGGTGGTAGCGGTTGCAAATGGCAACCTCCATGTTCCTGCCTTGGAGAAGCGTGTTTCCCTGCCAAATTCCAGGTGGAAGCCTCCTGAGAAGGCTGAGGTGGTGCAGGATTTGCATATCTTTGCCTGATGGTATTCACAACGCAGGCTGGAAGACGACAACGAACGTGCTTGCCCAATTTGCCGTGTACATAGTGTGTACTGCCTGTGTGCCGCATAGCGTAGAGATCTACACAAACACAGAATGTCATATGGAATGTGTATGATGAGTGCTTGTACACATACCACATTGCTGTACCGTAATAATTATTATAGTCAAATACTCATTTACTCTACATATGCGCTGTATTGCACCTACCGGTACCTACCTGCACTTTCAGTGCGCGCGCCATACTAATTTAGTGTCCACTGGTACAAAGATGGAGGGTCTTGTAGAATTTACCATAATTGCTGATTTCAAATTGAATTCCAATGATCTGGGGGATGAATACTGATTAGGACGCGTTCGATTACCTACTAGTACAGAGATGCCTTGGTCAGAAAGTACAGATTTCTTACTCTCCTGCCAGAATTTGTGCATTATTTTGGTGTACGCTTTCTTGACCCCACGCTTGTACGTTGCATGCCATGGTATACTAGAAAACGAGTTTATTGACAAAGTCTATCGCTTGAAACGATAAAGTATGGGTTCGGGTGTGATCAAATGCACCCATGGTGCTCATAAACTGTGTGCAGTGCTCTCTTCACCAACAGAACACTACCTACCATACTTTGTAGATCTTGTACCAATCCAAGGGAAAATGACAAAGACAAATGTGAGTCATGCATGAAAACTTGTGATAGCACGGTCTATAGTACAGAACACCGTTGTTCGTGCTATGCCTGACAACAATAATTAGTTACACACAAAACATTACGCGCATCGATCCTCACAAGATAAGTCAAGACATACTCGGAGCAAAGAGAAATTTGTTTGTGTCATGCATGAAACATGTGATAACTACCAGTACAATGTCTTTCTTGTGCGACGCCTACTGTAGTGTAGTGCGCCTGACAACAATAAATTTCCCCCAAAAATAAGAATAAGTGTATCATGCTGATACGCGATCCTCACAAGACAAGTCAAGGCAAACTAATTGAGGCTTACCTAATGTCAGACTCTTCTGTCACTGGCATTGGCGGCTTCTGCATGTCGAGATAACCTCGAAGAGCAGTGATGAGCACAGCCTAATGCAAGGATACGATCTCGTAATCTGCGAGGTCCGCTACGCAAGAAACCTTGGGCCGTCTTGTCGACAGCGACGGCAGCATCCTACCAGCAAAATCATTCCCGCGGGCTGGGCATGGCTATACACTTTTGTCCACGCTCGCACCAGTCGGAGTCCAAAACGAATCGAGATTCTGGTGGCCAAGCTACTCGTCTTCTGTCGGACGCAGCTGCTGACGCATCTTCTTCCTCCACATTTGTTACACGCGATGGCAGCTCCTCAGCAGAGTATCTGGGCTCCCTGCCCCAACCATACGCGGCGGTGGGCTGTTGGTCGTCCTCACTGGCCTCAGCATCGCTGCCTTCATTGCTGGGGACAGAGGATTGTTCGGAATCGCCCATCTTCCCTTGAAATACCAACTAAAATTAGTGCTTGTAGACTGGCGAAGAGAAACGACTTTGCCACAATGACGTAGGCAGCCCGTGATGATGTAACCAAATGGCCGCATGACGTCAGGGCGCGGCCCCCGTTTTTGCAATTTCAAAGTGAAATATCTCAAGAACGCTTCGTCGTAGAGACTTCGGACCAAGACCATTCGACTCAGCGCCCGAAACTCTACAGGCTATCAAAGTTTCATTTTTTCGTGGAGTTCCCCTTTAAAGCCATGGGGGGGGGGGGGGGTATATTCGATTATAAGGCCAGTCTCAGTTATAAAGCCATAGTATTTTTGTATTGTATTATACTCAATCTGCGGACAGAACTGTTTCGTCCTTTGTGGACTCGTCAGCGCAGCACAGAGGAAATGAGGCCGAACCTGATAGCAATGGAAATAAAAATTTCCAATCAGGCCCGAACGTACCTTGCCAGAGTGCTCAAACTGACAAGTCAGTGAGCTTTTATTATAAATTACCGGTATTTAAGGATTTCCCAAAGGCGCTGGGCCTGTCGATCGAGAGGATCTCTTGATAGGCTTCATAAATGAAAATTAATGACATTTGAAGTATATTTTGAAAAAATAAAGGAATACGTGTAACAGGTAGGCGAGTGGTAGGCGCGGTGCAATCAACCCACAAGCTTTTATTATTGTTCTCTCAGGTACACACCTTGGATATAATATAAGTAAAAGAAGAAGCGGCAAAGAAATAACTTTCTCTCCGGGGCACACCTAAAGGTTAAATACCGTAGACGGGCGTAGACGGGGACGCAAGCGTACAAACCGGCTGCAATTCGAGTGTGAACAGGAGACGCCGTCGTGCGCCGACTACTCCCGATTCGTACTTGGACATTTTTAGCATTTCGAACACTGCGCTTCCCATGATAACTCACAGAATGGCTAGCACTTGACTTGAGTTGAATTTTAGCAACATACTAGTAAGATCTCATGTCACTTATTGTATTTAGGGATAGTTCAGAAGCGTGACAGACGAATTATTCTATCATTTCCTGGGGCTATTATTTGAATGCCACAACTTTCAGAGCTAATTTTTTAGTCTTCATGAAAAACTGGTATTGTGAACTTGATTTCGCTTCTTTGAAGGAGAAGTAATTGAAAAGAAGTCCCGAAAAACGAGAAATTAGGTCCGAAAGTCACCCCGTCACGGACCGTGCCTTATGACTCGTGCCGTTCGACGTCGAACGTCGCAATGACTGCTGCATGTCGTGTCGTACGAATCGTACAGGATTTTAAGCCTAGTTCACATTCGACGCAACGCCGACGGTACGGGACGTAAGGGCTTGTCGGGAGGGCTGGGGTGAGCTGTAAAATCCTGTACGATTCGTACGACACGACATGCAGCAGTCGTTGCGACGTTCAGCGTCGAACGGCGCGAGTCATAAGGCACGGTCCGTGACGGGGTGACTTTTGGACCTAATTTCTCGTTTTTCGGAACTTCTTTTCAATTATTTCTCCTTCAAAGAAGCGGAATCAAGTTCACAATACCAGTTTTTCGTGAAGACCAAAAAATTAGCCCTGAAAGTTGTGGCATTCAAATAATAGCCCCAGGAAATGATAGAATAGTTCGTCTGTCACGCTTCTGAACTATCCCTAAATACAATAAGTGACATGAGATCTTATGTTGCTAAAATTAAACTCAAGTCGTGCTAGCCATTCTGTGAGTTATCATGGGAAGCGCAGTGTTCGAAATGCTAAAAATTTCCAAGTACGAATCGGGAGCAGCTGGCGCACGACGCCGTCTCCTGTTCACACTCGAATTGCAGCCGTTTTGTACGCTTGCGTCCCCGTCTACGCCCGTCTACGGTATGACAAGTTGGATCGATCCAACTCTTCCCGTCGCTTCCCGATCTGTACGGTAGTACGGTTGCGTTCCCGTTCCTGGTGTTCACATTGGACGCCGTCAGACCGTCCCGTCGCTTCCCGTCGATCCTCACTCCGCGTCCCGTCGCGCCCCGTCGAATGTGAACTAGGCTTTACAGCTCACCCCAGCCCTCCCGACAAGCCCTTACGTCCCGTACCGTCGGCGTTGCGTCAAACGTGAACTAGGCTTTATGCAACAGACGCTGTACACTTACATACGGAGATACACATCAGGTAAAGTTCCGTATTAGCTCCGTATTACTTCCGTATTAGCCATGCAGGGATACTACATAAGTACTATGCTAACAGCCCCGCAGGAAGGGTGAGGAAGTAGATTTATATGTAGAGGATATAACCCGAGTCAGAGGGTTATACCGGCTGAATATAAATCCCGACTGCGATAGCAGGAGGGATTTATATGAGGGTACGGTATAACCCGACTACGAGGGTCATATCCTACTTATGCCAGGTACCCCTACGCATTTCCAGGACAACGAACCTATTTGGAGATCTCCTACATCATGCAGTACATGAACATCTTCTGATGGTTATCAGTTGTCAATTGAAAGAATGGTCGAGCAAGATCAGAAGGAGATTCCTCCGTGGATGTTTGGCATAAGATTTCCTTTCAGTTCCAGTGCATATTGTAGCATCTTCATGATCTTGTCTTGAGTCGTGAGCGGTGCGGAAGTCGACTGAATTGCTGCGGTGCTGGAGTTTGTCGTTGAATCAAACTACCGTCACTAGTTAGATTACAGCTTGGACTCTTTGGGAGTAAGTGTTACTATAATTATGGTACAGTGCTGATTTTCACATGCGGCATCTTATAATCAGTTTTGCTTGCAAGTAGATGCATTTGCATACACTGTTTTGTATCACATTTCAATCCAATCTATTGTAGCCTTTTCCAATCGGGTTGAAGTACATGTAAACTGGTATTATAAACTTATTTACGAAGGAGACAGTCCGTTGATGATCTTCAACTCTTCGAAGTACAATGTACATTGCTGACCCATTCGGGATACTTCGTGGTTATTCGACGTTCTTTATCTTCAGATTCAGTATAATAGAATACTCTGTACTGTAGACGAATTCCAGGTCATTCTTCTTTTCCATTGTGTACTGTTCCTCGTCAGTGTGCCGTTCTGTGTGGAGTGTACACGCGCATGTGGTGTCCGTTGTGTCTGTTTATGTATGGTCCGTGCGCTGGAGTACTGCCGCCGTACAAGTTCACTGCCTTTCAGGCAGTGAACATGTACGGTGGCAGTGCCCTAGCGTACGTACCGTGCACCGGGATTTATATTCTATATAAATCCCGCGCGGGATTTATACTGGCCAATATAACCATGGCTAGACGAGCGCTGATTGGCTGAAAACAGGCCCTCCGTACCGTACCATGGTATAATGAAATTTCTGTGTGGACTTTGACTTTTATGGCATGTCGTAGTGGGTGAGTAATTTTGCATCTAAAATATCTAGGAAAGCAGCGGTATAATGCATAAATGGGAATGCATACAAGCAAGAGTCTTGATACAAGCAAGAAACCATAAACAGGTTATTTATATGCACTCTTGATGCAAACCAATGCCTTGCGCCTGCATTGCCCTGCAATGGCGCTACGATATTGATCAAGGGTTCCCTATAAGTGGATTTAGTTTTGCCCGAATGTCAAGTCCGCTACAAATTTTACAACGGAGCCGAAATCTACCTTCATGCACACGAGCTGCACGCCAAATATGGAAAATACAGTAACGACAAGATTTAAGAGTGCTCTTGGTAATGCCTATCGGTCGAGAGCATAGAATCTGATGTTTCGACTACAGAAGGATGAGAGTTTGTTGTATCACGGTATGCCGAATGGTACCGTTCACAGTTTTATTGAATGACAGTCCCACAAGGGCCAGGGGTCGTCGCAAAAGTTTTTTGTCGTCCCTGAAACGAACATGATTCATGGGGGGGGGGGGGGGGGAGGAGGGGTGCGAGCCAAAATCGCAAGTCGACCGACATGTACATGCATGCGATTTTCGTCCTCTAGCGTAGCAAGCTGTGTTCGTTTCAGAGGGAGGGGGGGGGGTCCAACTACGAAATGAACGATGTTCGTTTCAGGGACGACAGAAAGCTTTTGCGATGACCCCTACAAAAAGATAGTAAGATAGTAGATAGGTTCTGCTATTCTGCTCTACATGAAATGTAGAGAAATCACGTAGAGAGCAGGAGTCTGGGTTATTATTAGTATTATTATTATCATTATTATTGAACTCAGATGGAGAGCCAAGGTTTAATTTATACAAAAAAGAACGACCAAGGAACTACAAGTTACGCTATACTGTCCACTAACACCACCAGTTAGGGGCCGTCCAAGGTTACCAATCATATTTTCAAAACGAAAAGTTTTCGTTTGGGGGTGGGTGGGTTTAATGGAGTTTCGTTTTGAAAATAATTATTGAATGCAGATGAAGAATGCCCAGTAACTTCTGGGTACCGAAAATTGACATCAATATTTTACTGGAATTCGTATTACCTGCAGAAAAGGTGGGTGGGTGGGCATCGTGGGTGGGGGCTGAAAAATACTAAAACTTTTCGTTTCGTAAAAACAATCGGTAACCCCGGACGGCCCCTTACTAAACAATCAGCTCATGCGATAACATTGCACGACACTGACCGACGGTACTGACGTTCTACAACTAACAGGCTAACACTAACAGCTCTAGAACACCTTGCACACAGTACTACATTGTACAACCATGTAGTCCCATACATGATTGCACTACATTATCACATCAGCCCACGAATATCAGGCAAACTGCAACAATGAGAGGATAAAGTTTCGTTAATACGGGATGGCGAAGAGAACATACATTTATCTGCTATCGCATCAACAAACGCTTTCCCACTCGTCATTTTTGGTTTTGTTACTTCAACGTCCTTGTGTTCGCTTATCAAACTCTTGTCTCCCCGCTGCTCATCTTTTCCTCCCCGTGCGTCTATTGCGGCTTGGATTTTCTGCCCACGACATCGTTCCACAGACGCCAGTTGCCACTGAACTCGTCTGACTTACGGGATTCCTGGGACCCACGAGGCTCAGGCAGTGAACGACTGAAAGCTTCGTCATGGCAGCCTTCATCGCAGAGAACGGATGGGGAGCACTCCCTAGCTTTGCTGCTGTGGTGCAAGCGTTTACGATTTTGATTGACGCATCTACATTTAGCTGCTGCAGCATGTGCAGCGCACATACATGTACATGTGCGTAGTATGAACTCTTTTTTTTCTTCCGAAATGTCTGAAAACCTACGCGGGCGATTATTATTATTATTATTATTATTTAAATTTTGAA